AAATTTCTAATCTCTAAGTGGCCATTCTTATACCTAAATAACAAACATTGTCAATAAATATGATCCAAGTTTAAACAAATTGGACATATAATATAAGTAAGATTTCCTCGTGGTGTTCATGTGTTCTAATGAAGGTACGTCCAACTGAAAGAATCTGTGAATGTTTCTATATACATATATAGCATATATACAAATCAATTATCACAAGAGATATTGGCAATAGTAAAAAAAGGTAGTTTAAATTATTTTGATTGAGGTCACTATCTTTTCTGAAAGGTATACACATAAAAACTACTCGTGCCATCGGTGATATTCATGTTAGTGTTCATAATGAAGCAAATGAAGGAGGTAATCGAACGGATATCACTTGGTCAGGTATGTTGCGACTCAAAGTCTAACTCTTGTTTTATTTAATAAACTTGAAATAATTTTTTCATATGTTATTTGTTAATTTGTTTTCTCAATAACAATAGTTGAGACTAACTACTGTTAATTAGCAAATGAGTAATTTTTTTTTTTATCAAAGAGAAGAATTTCATTGAACTTTTTTTTTATCAAAGAGAAGAATTTCATTGAACTTGCATCAACACTTACAATAGAATCAATTGGCGAAACGAAGGGATAAGAGTGGCCTCATTAAAACCTTGCCATATAAAACCGAGCAAATGAGTAATTAAATCAACTACCACTACTACAAAAAACACTTTGCGCGACGAACGATTTTTGGTCGCGCAAAGGAAAATTTCGTCGCGCAAACTTTGCGTGACGAAATTTTGGTCGCGCAAGTTATGTCGCGCAAAACTCGTAAAGAAAGGGTTTGCGCGACGACGAAAATTATTCGTCGCACAAAGCCACTTTGCGCGACGAAGGATAACAACTTGCGCGACGAATCATGACGACTTTGCACGACGAAAATAACAATTTTGCGCGACGGAAAATAACAACTTTGCGCGACGAATATTATCAACTTTGAGCGACGAAAGTTAATGTCGCGCAAATGTACTTTGCGCGACGAATGTTAACGTCGCGCAAAGGTTTGCGCGACGAATTATTCATTTTTTTTTATTTTTTTATTTTTTTATTTTTTGAAAATTTTAAACTAAAATAAACTAATTTAATAGTTTGCGCGACGAAATATTTTGTCGCGCAAGGTTTTTGACATTTTTTATTATTATTTCTCTTATATCAATTTCATTATATTAATTTTTAAAATTTGATTTAATTGTATGATTTTATTTGTCTTAATTACTTTAATTTAAATTGACATATTCAAAATAAAATTACATAAGAAAAATAGTGGTCAAATTATCCAATATACATAATATTCAAAATGTACACTTAAATTAACAAAGTACAATAATAAAATCTACAAGCATCTTATATCAAATCCTCAACTTTAGCCTCAACAATTCCCTACAAAAAAAACAAAAAAAAAAATATTGTCAAATAACAAAACAATAACATAAAATAATGACAAATAATTGGCATAAACTCAAAACTAACTCCAAAAACACATATTAATGAAAAAAATTTAAAATTTA